CCCCCAGAAGTCAGAGGGACGGTTTCGGTTCCACGTTTCCAGCTTCTGCCAGAATGTGTCTTCCTGTTTAGTCCAAGAGGCCCCTCCAGCCCCGCTTCTGCAGCTGCGTTGTTCTCCTGTCAGAGCAGTTAGGACCCGGCACCGTCGTTACCTGTTTACTGACCCACCTCCCCGTCAGATGCTCACTTGTTGGGGGTTGAGCTGTGTCCTGAGCCCTCAGCGCCCAGGCATGTAGTAAGCTCTCAGTAAGTATTGAGTGACGTCGTGACGGAATGACCGAGGGTTCTGCCTTCCACCCGTCCGTCGGGCACGTGTCCAAGGCTGAATCCCACACTGCATTGTACTCGCAGCCGCCTGGGGCCAACGGGGGGCACTTGGGAGGTGACTGGGCTGTTGACGGTGCACGGAGAGGAAAAGTCTGGGAAATACAACCCTTGGGGATTAAACAGGGAAAGCCAATGCCCTTACAACGTAAACCAACCCAAGGTCCTGGACCCATGCATTAACCAGTTGGAAATGCACCCTGATGGCAGGAGATACCGGAGTCGTAGACTAAATTTGTATGAAGTGAATTGGCAGGTAAGCCTAGAAGCTAGGTTTTCTCCCAATTCAGGTTCCTACAGCAGAGAGGAGTCAACCAGCAAGTTTCCTGGTGAGGACCCAAAAGGAAAAATAGGAGGAGGAACGAAGGAGGAGGGGAAGGAGGATCAGGAGGGGGAGGGGGCAAGAGGCGAGGAGGAAGGGAGAAATGTTAGGCATTTAGCCAGGATCTGACACTTCAGGTCCTTACACCCACTGTCATCTTTGCTCCTCACAGTAATCCTGAGATGTACAGGGTGGGCCACAGTAGGCTCACAGTTGTGTATACATGAACCAGACTTAATTCCTGTATTAGTATTTACTCTTGTATTATATATTTTTCCATAAGAACAACTGTAAATCTCCTCTTGTCCACACCTGTGTATTATTCTCATATTACAACTGGTGAAACTGGAGCTTAAAGATGTTCCATTAACGGCCAGGTCACACAGCAGTGTGTGCCCATCCAGGCTCAACCCAGGTCTGACATCAGAGCTCAGATGGTAGCTACCCTGTTCCCGGAAGGCGGCTAAGGAGCAAGACCATGGGACTCAGGGGGGCAGGAGGCCCTCCACCAGGGAACCTGGAGAAGGGGCAGCCTCTTGCCGTGCCTCCACTGAGTGATCAGTGAGGTCTGCAGGGAGAGACACAGTCCACGGGCCAAGGGCTCGATCAGGGAGCTGAGAGTGGAGGGCAGGAGGCTGGGCCCTGGAACCAGGGGCACCGGACCTTCCGAGGCCAGGCTTGGCAGGCCCTGGGCAGCCGCCAGGGCACTGGCCAAGGCCAGAGAAGCCGCAGAGGCCAGGCAAGGTCTGCAAACGGGAGAGGTTAAGTGGAATCTTCCTGGGTAATTGGTGCTGTCTGCCCACAGGACCCCGCCAGGCCCAGCCCGGCCCAGCCCCACATGCTGCAACCTGCCCGCAGTCGGTTGTGCAGAGGCAGGCGCAGGGGAGGGGGGGGCAGCAAGCTGGTGCCCTTGTCAGAAGACCCCCCCTTTCAGTTCAGGCCTTCTTTTGTCTGAATCCTTGACACGTAACAGGGAACCCTCTGAATCCATGGCAATGTTGGCAGCAACAGCAATGTGGCCAACGGGCAGGGCGAGATCAAACAGAAGAGGGAGGGCTGGGGCTCCAGGCTGAGCCCCCTACTCACCAGCGGCCCTCCGGCCTCCCTCCGTGTCCCCCACCCTCACAGTGTCAGGTGCACACCGTCAGACGGGCCTGGGGGGTGCAGACGGGCACTGGGCCCGCATCAAGGGATTCTTGTGGCAGCAGGAAGCCCTTCAAAGCCCCGGAGCTAGTCACTCATCGGTTTCGTCCTCCAAGGCACAGCACGTTTTCTACTCTCCCTACCACCCTCCTCCTCGTCCACACAGCCTAGGCTCCCTGCCCACTCATGCCTCCCACCCCCCAGCCAAGGCAGCAGCAGCACACAGGGCCCGCGCAGAAGGCACCCAGGCTCCCGTGCCCTGCCACTGGGGCGGCAGCTGCAAAGGGCCTGTGGGGGCTTGGGAGAGGCTCTGCGGAGGTAGGAGCACAGGAGCAGCCTGGAGGTAGGCTCCCCAGCCCCAGGGCATGCCAAGAAGCAGAGCAGCCACATAGAATGCAGCCCTCCCTTCCTTTTTCAGCTCTGTGGTTGCTTCTCACTCTGGTTTAACACAGGTTTAGACCAAACTTCTCACCGTGCCCTGAGCTCTGGGACTGACACCACTTTTCCCGCAGTTGAGAGTGATCCTGGCGGAGTCCTGACCGAACCCACCGCCAGTCAGAGCCAACAGCACTGATTCCACCTCCCGTGTTTCTCACCCCGCACCGGGCCATGGGTGCCCCTCCAGGCGAAGCCCTCAGACTCTCTTGCCCAGGCTATTACAACAGCCTCATAACTAACACCCACACCTTCCATCTCCCCTCCTCACCCCCTCCTACATGCACCATTATCGGAATTAAATCCCCAAAGGGTAAAACTTACACCCAACACTTAGGAAGAGCTTACCATGTGCCAGGCGTTGCTCTAAGCCAGTCGTTGTCAACCTCCCTAATGCCGCGACCCTTTAATACAGTTCCTCATGTTGTGGTGACTCCCAATTTCATTGTTACAAATTGAACATAATTAAAGCATAGTGATTAATCACAAAAACAATATGTAATTATATATGTGTTTTCCGATGGTCCTAGGCGACCCCAGTGAAAGAGCTGTTTGACCCCCAAAGGGGTCGCGACCCACAGGTTGAGAACCGCTGCTCTAAGCACTCCACATACATGACTTACCTGATTCTACCTGGACTCCATGAGGTAAGTACTATTTATTATTCCCACGTGAGAGATGAGGGAGCTGAGGCACACAGAGTTTAAGCAATCTGCTGGGAAATGACAGAGCAGGATTCAGGATCTCCACTCTTACTCTGAAGTCCAGAGTAGCAATGATCACACTGCATTGCCTCTTTAAAAAGCTTCTAGGAGCTTCTCACTACCTATCCCACCACGATCCGAACTCCTCAGCTCCCAACTCCTCTTAGGAGAGCCTCTTCGGAGTGGCAACTGCCCTGGCTGGTCACTGGCTCCGCCACCTTGAGAAACAAACCCACCTCTCTGAGCCTCGGTTTCCCTGTCTGTAAGGGGGTGGTGATAATAGTATGCGTTTCCAAGGGTTGTTATAATGATTAACAGAAGTGCTTTGGGGAGAGTGCCTGGCTCCTACTGGACATAGTCAAGGTTACCTCTCTTCCCCTCAGCTTCCTGCCTTCACAGCATGTACCAGGCCCCCCTGTTCAGGCCCCCAGGAAACTGTCCGTTACTTAAAGACAGTCATTGCCTGTCAGTCTCTGAACTCCCCGACACCCCTTGCCTAGTGCTGTGCTCAATCGATGTACGACTCAATTTCAATGCTTGACCAGAGTCAGGATGCTGTAGCGGGACTCACCTACCAAAGAAGGTAGATCCCAATGATTTCTGAGTTCCATTCAACCTTGAGAGTCTAGAACTTGAGCAATCTGCTCCCTAGAGAGAACCTGTGCAAAACACAGAGTTTGTTCCCTGTCTTTTTCTTTTTTTAATATATTTTATTGATTTTTTACAGAGAGGAAGGAAGAGGGATAGAGAGTTAGAAACATTGATGAGAATCGATCAGCTGCCTCCTTCACACCCTCTACTGGGGATGTGCCCACAACCAAGGTACATGCCCTTGACCGGAATCGAACCTGGGACCCTTCAGTCCACAGGCCAACACTCTATCCACTGAGCCAAACCGGTTACGGCTGTTCCCTGGCTTATACTCATTGCTGCCATGACATCAGCTTGCAGTCACATTGAGTCTTCGACCTGCTTCCCGCCCACTCCCACTTCCTCCTCCAGATGCTTTGTGTGGGTCTGGCATTCCCGGCCCACACCTGGGAGCAGGAGTGCTCTGGCAGCCCCAAAGCACGCGGGCCACGGGCAGAAAAGTCAAACTAGCAAATAGAAATGTCACTCAATCACTTCTTGGTGCTTTTCTCTTGTTTGGCCTTCCCCACCACATATAATGAGAAATTCTCTTTGCCCAAATATTGTTTGAATTTCAAATACACAATTTCCCCAGGGGCGGCCAGATGGAAAGAGAAATCTGGTTTGCAACATAAGACCTCTATGCGGAAGTTGCGTTGCTGGGACAGCGAAACTACATTTTTATTGAGCTCCTTGAAATGACAGTCGCACACGACGGCAACCAGGCTCCCTCCCCACTGCGGTGAGCTTACGTTCTTTTAAGTCAATACCAAGAAGGCAGCCCTCCAGGGGTGAGGAAAGAAGGAACGGATCTAAAACACATGGGCAAAAGGACAAATCTGCTCATGGCATCTAACCCATTCCTGCCACGGCCCCTGCATGTGCCTTCCCATAAGCCTCTCTGTGTGGGCACTGGCTGTCGTTCTGGGGTTCTTAATCTTGGAGAGGGTTGTCTAAGAGGCCCTGGGGCAATGATTCTCAATCCTGGTTACACTAGACTCTCATAGAGTGAGTGGTTTAGAAAAAAGCACCCGTGACCAGACCCACTATAAACCCATTAAATCAGAGACTTTGTATGTAAGGCCCAGGCCTCTGGAATCTCTTTTTTAAAATATATTTTTATTGATTTCAGAGAAGAAGGGAGAGGGAGAGAGAGATAGAAACATCAATGATGAGAGGGAATCATTGATAGGCTGCCTCCTGCACACCCCACACTGGGGATCAAGCCTGCAACCCAGGTATGTGCCCTGACCGGGAATTGAACCGTGACCTCCTGGTTCATAGGTCAATGCTCAACCACTGAGCCATGCCGGCCGGGTAGGCCTGTGGAATGTTATAGAAACTCTCAGGTGATTCAGGTGTGAGTCAGAGTGAGATGTGCACATAGATTTGAAGGGCGTGAGCTCCTTGAAGTAGCAGGTACATTTTGTGTGCATGAGGATATGTTTGCTTTGCTGGGTGAGGGGTCATAACTTCCAGACAATTCTTTAGAGTATCTGCAACTCCAAACAGGTTTTAATAACAGGCCTCCAGCTTGGTGTCTCAGGTTCCTTCCAGATGGAAAATGATATGCTCTCAGGATGTTGTTGAAGCTTCATCACTAACGGGCAAACGAAAGGCAGATGGCTGGTTCCTGGAGGAATGACCTTGTTGATCCAGATCCCACAGGTAAGAGCTGTCAATGAGGGGCCCAGGGACATGGGGGGTAGCGGGCCCTCTGAGTAAGGGAGGTGTTCTTGCAGGAAAAACCCGGGCACTCGGCACAGCTTATTATTTAAGCGGCCCTGCCCGTGGCTCAGCTGGCAGCCGTGCCCAGCTTGGCCTCTGACTCTGGACATCAGAAGCCAAGTCCATGGAGAAGGGCAAGTGCCCAGGACCCGCCTGGCCGGAGCGCTCATAAAGCTGTCCCCAGATCCAGCCGGTAGGTGTGTGCAGGGGGCTGGAGGGAGGCGGGTGGGGTTGGGTCAGTAAAGAAAAAGGTCCAAGCCCCTGAATAGCATTCACAAGACAGAAGAGGCCCCTCAGAGCCTTCACCACCATCAGGGCGTGGTTTCAATAAATCCAAGGGGCGGGGATAAGGCTCATACAACCATCTAAACCAGCTGCCAGAGAGAGTGGACAAGGAGGGCGTGGCTGCGCTCCCAGCTTCCCAGCGGCCTCCTCCAGGCACTGGAGGCCATTCTGTTCGAAGCATCATCTGCCACCCCTCCTCCTGCCCCAGGGCCTGGTCGGATCGCAGAGTTTGGGCTCTGCCAGGGAACAGCCAGGCATGCTCGTCCCAGTACCACTGCCAAAAGGCAAGGAGGCCAGTCTTGGGGCTTCCCAGACCCAAGTCAGCTGCCTAAGTGCTCAGCCCTGCTGATGAAAAGCCCCCTCTTCCTCTCTCGCCAGCCCTGCACTCTAATTTATCGGCCCTTTGATAACCAACTCCAAACACGCTGGGCCGGGCCCAGCCATCAGCACACAAAGGCCTGTGCTCTGTGGGCTGAATGCAGCACTTCACTCTCGGGGGGATTTCTATAGAAGGCAAAATCCACCAAACATGCGATTCCACTTAGATCAGACAATGCGAGGTGACGGCGAGGGGACCAGCATTAATGACTCCGCCAGCAGCGGCTCCTCTGTTCTGAAGCTCCGCCGCAGCATGGGACAGCAACCCGCTGCCCTTCCCAGCCTCTCGCCGTACCCTCTCCTCCTGCTCCCAGACTAGAAGGTTGACCCTCGCGTCTGCTGCCTCTCTCAGGCCCGAGGGCTGATTTCCCTGGGCCACGTGGGCTGACTCTTGGCTTCCTCTTTGCTGAGAAAAAAGAAGGAGAAACTAAGTCCGGCCTGCCCCCCTTTTCCTTCTAACGATGAGGAAACCGCGATATTATTGAAAGTCGCCCAGTCGGCGGGCAGCAGAGACAGGATGAGAACCCTTGTCCTGGCTCGTTCGGGTCATACAAGAGCTGCTGTCCATTAGATGACCCACATCAAGTGCCGAACACACTGGCTGGCGATGAAAGCACTCTCTAAATATCAGCTGCTTCATCTGTTGTAGCGGGAGCAGCACTTGGATACGCCATTCAACTCCTCACGGAGTGCTTGTCGGGAGCCAGGCAGTCTTCAGGGTGCTGCATGTAAAACAGTCAACATAATGTGACCCTGCCGCCTGGAGCTGACATTCCAATGGAAGACCCACATTGGTCAATAGGCGATTGCAATGCACAGTGGTAAGGGATAGCTTAGGGAAGTAGAGGAGGCCACAGCGGGGCACAGGAGGCGCCCCTAACCCAGACTGTGGGAGCTCTCCAGGTGAAGGGAGGTGGGAATGAGGGGGCAGGTTGGGGTAGAGAGACTTCTGGGAGGATTTATAACTGAATGTGCAAAGGCAGCTGAGGAACACAAAGGGGAACAAGGCAAGATGCATTTAAGGAAATGAAGACGTATCGGCTCAGCAGGAAAACAGGGATAATGAGGGAAGTAAGGTGTGCAAGAAGGAAGGCAAGTGGTTGTGAGACATGAGGTGGGAGAAGCAGACACACAAGTCATATGATGAATCACATGTAAGCCACAGAAAGGAGCTGGTACTGTGTCCGGAGAAGTAGGGGAATGAGCTGGTCCATGTGCATGGTAGAGATCACAGGATGTGTTGAAGGGAATGGATTAGAGGGGAGCAAGGTGGGCCACAGGGAGTCTGGTTTGCAGGCCAAGCCCTAGGCTAGCACTTGCTCCACGTTCTATTTGAGCACATCACCAGGCCCCAATCTTGAGTCAGCAGATGGAAGGGGGATAAGCTGGAAAAAGAGAGCTGTGGCCTCAGGGAACAGAGGAATCAAACCACAGGCCCTTCCATCATTACCCAACAAGCCTGGGGCACAGTAGAGCAGCAGCACGCTCTTTTCCACCAGCCAGATGTGTGACTTTGAGCAACCTCCATTTCCCCAACTGAACAGTGAGGGCATTTACTGAGTCACCGGTGACCTGCCTGCAGCTCCTCATTCTGTGCTTGTAGTACTGGAAACACATATCATACCAGGACGCCTTCCTTGCTTTGCACTTGGGTGCTTACAAAAACAAGGCAACATCATTTGCCTTTTATAATAGAGAAATCACAGCCCATCAAAATCGGGTGCCTTGCACAATGGCCATGTACCTGTCCTCTTATGGTTTCTAATCAAGAAAGGCCCAGCGTTGACACTGGCCAGGAAAAGCCGGTTGGGAGTGGTAGTCCTGGGCTCTCCCGGCCGTGCCTTGCACCCATGACGTAGGCCTATGGCCTTCAGAAAACCCTCTTTGTCTGGCCCTTTGCCCTCAGGATTGAGGTTCTGCAGGAATCCAGAACACTCTCTCCTCGTCCAATAGCTCTGGCAGCTGCTAAGGTAGAGGCCAAAGTTCCAAGGACTGGGGGCAGGTGAACAAACAGACAAATTCCGGCTGGAGTGGGAGAAGAAACAGCCACCTCAGGCCTGCTTTGGGCGCACAGTGCTCTCCACCCTGTCGCCGCAGGACACAAGCCACAGAGCATCCAGGGGCGCGCGGCTGCGGGGAACAATTCAAAAATTGCCTTGTTGGACTACAACGTGCCAATTTTTCAAATCTAGAGCCATTTTCACTATTATAGTCTGTGCAGCCTCAGCCGGGAGGATTTTCTTCTGGGAGGGAAAATTGATTCCGAGGTTACCATTAACCCCCATTAGCACAGCACGCCCCATTCCACAGCTATTCTTGGGAACCGAGGTGGCCAGAGGAAGCTATAGAGGCCCATGGTGAGGTTGGTGCCCGACATCACAGGTGCCAACAGCCAGAGTCCATTAACCCATGTCTCAGAGGGCAGGCGAGTGAGTGAGATGGAGAGCAGGGAGAAAGGGGGATAAAAGGATCTGGGCATGTGTTTCCCAGGAATTCTGAGGCCTTGGCGGTGGCCTGCGCACCTCGCTTCATCCCGGTGGATTGGAAACTTGCATAAGCTGAGGAACCGGCACCACAGCTAATATGGCTGAAACCCTCCTTATGTTGGCCTGCGGCTCTCACTGTGACTGCCCTCCCTAGTCAGGGCCAGAGCCTGCTGAGGAATGCTCTTCAGGAGCTGGCTTGGAGGTGCCCATTCCACCCCCCATTCCTGGTACCTGGCCGCTCCAGGCCCAGGTCCCGGCAGACACACTGCTCTGAGGCAGCTGGTTTTGTTGGCCAGAGGTGCTCTATATGGAAATCACTCTCAGCCATTCTAAGCACAGTCAGGAGCCGCAGCCTGGATCCCAGGGCGTGCTGTGGTCTCCATCTCCCCAGGCAGAGGCCAGACCCACCAGCCCAGTAGAGAGGACAGTGACAGTGGCTGCTGCAAAACAAGGGAAGACAATCATGTGAACAAAGGGAGCAGCAGGCGACGGAGCGGAGCAGCACATCGCTGATCTCTCGCGCATCACTGTTTACATGCTAGTCCTGGATCCAGCAAGTCTGAATCCTGGCTCTGCCTCTGGACCTTGGAGAAGTTACTTACTCTTTCTGCGCCTCTGTTTCTTCTATAGCCTAGAAGTAAAAATAACCACCGGGCAAAGTTGATATCAGCATTAAATGAGATAATGTAGGAAGGGAGTGATTACATTACAGTTCCTCAGTGAATATATACATAGGGTTGGGCAAAAGCAGGTTTACAGTTGTGAGTACATGAAACAGAGTTTGTTCTTATATTATTATTTATTGTGTTATTTCCCATATGAACAACTATAAACCTTTTCCCCCACTTTGTAGATGTATATGTGGAAGTATAGACAACAAATCCATGCATATAAACAACTAAGGAAGCCCACCATCCATTCTAACACATGTCTCTTTTGATCACAGAATGATACAGCGTCATTCCTCTTATAAGAGTTTGCTTTGGTGTCTGAGTCTTGTGGCTGTGTGGTCTACTGACTCTGAACTTCAAAAGTTCCTTTCTCGTCCTGGCCTGTTTTGCTCAGTGAATAGAGTACTGGCCTGTGGACTGAAAGGTCCCAGGTTCGATTCTGGTCAAGGGCATATGCCCGGGTTATGGGCTCAGTCCCCAGTGGGGGACGTGCAGGAGGCAGCCAATCAATGATTCTCTCTCATCATTGATGTTTCTATCTCTTGCTCCCTCTCCCTTCCCCTCTGAAGCAAATTTAAAAAATATATTAAAATCTCTAAAAATAAAAAGTTCCTTCCTCCCCACCCCTGTCCCTCCCCCAGAACCACCACTGCGGCACCCCTCCTCCTTATTCCTCCTCCTCCTCCTGCTTCTCCTCTTCCTCCATCCCTCCTCCTCTGGCTGCCAGGTTGCCCGCTGCTCACTGGCTGAGCTGGTCACTACCAGTTTTCCGGGAGAGCATTGCAAAGGAAGGCCTCCTCGGTGCTGAGGTCACTGGAGAGAGGCCCTCGCTGCCATAGAGAGAGTCTGTCTTCCTAAATCCCAAATGTTTAGGGCATCTGCCACATGCCGGGCCCTGTGCTAGCCATCGGGGCTACCAGAGGAGCCAGGTCCAGTCCAGTCCCTGCCCCTTACGGCTACCAGGGACCCAGACACCAGACCATATGCAGCTCCTTATGATCTTACAAGGAGGAGCCAGAAGGGGTTGGGGAGGGGGTGAGGTTGTGCACTGGAGACCCAAGGAGGGCGCCCCCAGAGATGGGCACAGACGGTGGCAGCTTCTGTTCCCTGCAGACCCTGGGAAGTCGACCTCTTAGTCATCAGGTTATTTGTGTGGGAGGGGAAGGGAGCTCGCAGAGCTAAGTGCTGACGGGCCGTCCCTGTCAACACAATGTTCCGCCTGGCCGGGCCTTCATATATAAAGATATTTAATGAATTCGTTAATTAATGAGAGGAGTTTGATTGATAGATCATATGGCGCTCGCAGCGGGGTGAGTCTGACCCTCAGTAGCGCAGCCTGGGCTGCAGCCGGTCCCCTCATTGGTCGGGAGAGCATGGTCGCTCAGGCAATTTGCATGCATTTAATGTAGCTCTTTAATAGGATGTACTGTTAGCGAAAGCCAAAAGCGCAGCAGCTGTGACTTAAAAGACAGCCCCATTACTGCAAGCCTTATAATTAGGGTGAGAGGGAGACTCGGTCTGCCGTATGTTAAACTCTTTTGAGGTTAATAGCTCTGTAAGATTTTTGCAATTTAAAAAAATTACACTTGAAGGATGATGACAAGGCTCATCAACGAGGCGCCTCTCCACCCGAAGAAAGGGACAGGAGGATCCCATGTACCCTGAGGCCCTCTGCCCCGGGGCCATGGCGTGGTGGCCCTTCTCCTGCCACAAGTCGCTCATGTCTCCACCAGTTTCCCCTCCCACCCAGTCCCATTAGGGCAGCGTGGCTGTCTCAGCAGCACGGAGTGGGACTCGCCCCACTTGGCAAGGCATAGCCCCGCCCCCCCAAACACACACACACACACACACACACACACGCGCGCGCACACACACACACACACACACACATTTCTGCAGATCCGGACACCTAGCACGGTGGGGGCAGGCGGGCGCCGGGTGCTGTGCTGGTGTGCTTACCTTGCAAAGCCCCAGGCTGCTCGGAGCAGTTCACCTAGTCTTGGTTGCACAACCTGGCAAATCAAATCAGACTTTGCCGCCCGTGGGGGGTGGGAGGGAGAGGAAATCTCGAGAATTTGCCCAAGGCCTTGGGGTTGTTTGCCCCCTTGGTGCCACAGCCCAGGTGGCAGGGGTGGGGGCATGAGCAGTGCCCAGCTCTGACCCTGGGCCCGGGAAGCCCGAGCATGGCCCCCTGCACCCCAGCTGCTGCGGGGAACAGGAGGCCTCCCTCCCGGTCACTAAGTCCCAGTGAGCCCAGCTGCACCCTCCCAGCCTCTGCTGTCTTTTCCGAGTGCCCCTCCCCAGGGCCCGGCACCAGTTGCTGGCAGTCTGGGGAGTCGCTATTAGAAGCAGGAGCCGGTCCCTGGGGACCAGAGCAGCCCCATGCGCTCCAGGCCTCCACCATCTGTGCAGGGAGCTGCGGAGAGCCCCCCGCTGGGCAGGTTCCCTCCCCGGGAGGACTGCTCCACATCTCCCACCCCTCGTTCTTCAGGATGCGAGTGGGAGTGGGACCAAATTCCTGAGACAGACACTCCAGGCAAAACAACAAGGGGGGGGGGGCAGGGGGGAAGGAAGAAAGTCTGCTTATTCTTTTATGGGGGCTCTGGTCAAAAGGAAATGGCAGGAGTGATAAAGTTACTGCTAATCGCACAATTATCTGATGACCTCTGTAACCAGACCTATAGAAGGTCCTTTCCCCCTCCCATCGGCTTGAAGAACTCGGAGGAGCATCTCTGGAGGCTAAGACCCAGATCTCTCTGGCCTGGAAGAATATATAGAAAGGGGGTGTGGCTATAAAGGCAGCAAAGAGGGGGCTCAGGGCGGCCAATGCAGGGCCACAGAGAGAAGAGAAAGTTTAGGTCGGGCTGGGGAAGAAATGGAGGAGAGAGGAGGCGGAAGGTAGCAAGATGCATATTCCAGTGAATTCTGTGAGAGCTGGAAGGGGTGGGGATGAGGCTGGGCTGGCGTTGGGAGGGGCTGGGGAGCGAATCAAACCCTCTGAACGCTCATTGCGCTTTGGACAGAGATGATGGTGGCTGCTGAGGTGGAGGGAGAAAAGCCTTGCTTGCATTCTACATCTCGATTTGAAATGCTACTTATTGGCAGCTGCTAAAAGCGAACAAAACTGAGACACGAACTTACCTTAGTGCTGTAGCGTTTACAAAGCATTTTCGCATCTGCTTTCTCACATAATTCTCTCACCTCCCCTGTTCTGCTGGAATTCCCATTTTCGAAGACGCTACCCCAGACTCGGAAGACGTGAGGGATTCCCCAGAGGCCTCCAGGTTCTCACCGGAACAGCTACGCTCCCGGCCCAGCCTCTCCCTGCCCCAGGGTCTCCCAGCCTTTTTGGGGAGCCGGTGGGGTTGAGGCATTTCTCTGACGGTGCTGAAACTAGGCTTATTATCTCCTTTACACACATTATTTTTTTAAGTCAACAGCTGAGCTTGGAGGTGACCGGCCGCATGGAGCGGTTTTCCCGCGGGAAGGCCTGCACTTGCACACCAGCCTGAAGTGTCCCTTTCAGGTCACCAGCCGGCCTGACTCCTTGATGGGAGGAGACACGGGCAGGTCCCGGACGAAGGTCCACTCTCTGACGCCCCCACCCACCGGGTCAACCCGTCGGGACAAGGAGCAAGACCCTTCAGCTCATTCTGCACCCCCTCTGCTGCCACAGCTAGGGAGGAGGGGCCCAGGGCCCCATCCCCGAGAGCCGAGAGCTGTGGCAGTGCCGTGCCAAGTGACAGCCGCTGCGACCTCACCGGGACTCTCCGGCAGTGGAGGCCGCTCCTCCGGAGCCCCCCGCAGCGCACCTGTGCCGCTTCAGAATTCCCATCTGCAGGTCAGTAGCCGGCATTGCGGGCCTCGCCTGCGGGAACACAGGTTCCCTTCATTAGGGCAAAGGCTTCCAGGGGAGACCAGAGTAAGTAAGGCTGGGGCTCCCAGGACGGAGGGCCAGAGGCCTCTGGAGGCGAGCAGTAGGATAAGCAGAGGTAAACGGGCCGAAGAGGGCCTCTCGCAGGGAGAGGCTGACCCAGCCCATCACCCACCCGACCAGCGCCCGGCATCCCCTCTCCCTACCCACCCGAGAGGAACTTTAATGGAAAGTTCACACTGATTTCTCCCATCAACTCCCCTTGATGGGTGGTCCCTGGGCTAAGAGGTTCCAGTGGACCCCTCCCCGGAGCAGGTTATCGGAGGCCAGAGCAGGCAAAGGGCTGGTGCTGAGGGTGGCCTCCCAATAAAGGGCCGCCTGACAGAGGCTCCAGGCCACAGGGAAGCCTCTTCCCTAAGGCCACGCCCTCCGTTCATTCATCAACATGGTCTCTGTGATGCAGATGCTGAGAATTGGAGATGAAGCTGGAGTACCCTTCTAGGAGTTGATAGACTTATGGAAACGTGGACATGGCCCCGATGGGCTTGGAGAACATTACATATCTCCCAGGTCAACCCCCAAACTACAGAGAAGAGGGGGCGGGGCTGAGAGCGGAGTGCCTGGAGCAGGGTTTCACAGCATGCTGCTGTCAGGGTCATGGCCAAAGCAGGGTTCTGCTCCCCGTCCAGGGTCTTCCCACCACCAGGCAGAACTGGTGGGAGCCAGATGTCACCTGCCCTTCTTTCCTCCTCCGCCCTGGCCACTGTCACCACCTGCCTCTCTTCTGGGGAGGATGCTCCTCAGTCCTTCCCCCCCAAACACAGGTCGGGGATTTTGCTTCCACCCAAGAGAGTGATTGATAACATTTCAATGGTTCCATTTAAAAAGAAACGTCCTCAGCGCCCTCTATTCCCAGGCGAGGCAACCTTGGCCAGGACAGGACGTAGGGAGACGGGCGGCGGGGGGCCGGGCACACGGGTCAGGGAGAGGGGTGATGGACCGCAGCTGGAGGGCATGCACTTCACATTCCGCTCTCTTTTGCAGTGCGCTAGGGCCGGACCCCTTGCTCTTCCTTTGCCATGACCGATAATACGTTGTCTGACTTCCCCAGATATCAGCATGACTCCCTTCTCCACCCCCTTGTCCCCAAGAGCACCTCCGTACTTAAAACTGTAAGACCTTTCTCCCACATTTCACCATCCCCTCACCCTGCTTTCCCGGTCTCCACAGAACGTATGACTTCTAGCTTTTCTGTAACTTCCTTATCCAGCATGTGTGTTCACCTCTGCCCCATTAGAAAGCAAGAGTCCGGCAGGCAAGGGGCCCGAGCATTCTGATCGCAGTAAACAGAGCACTGCTTAGCACAAATAGACGCGCACTGAACAGTGGCGAAGGAATGAATTAGTAGTGAGTCAAGAAGCTTGCAGTCTGAGAGTTGGGAGGGGCCTTGAAGATAAAGAACCCAATCCCTCGGTCTGGGGGAACGGAGGCATCGCTGGGGACTGGGGAGCGGCATTTCAGGCTGATGTGCCAGCGCGGAGGAGAGGGGCTTCACGGAGGAGGTGACGTTGGAGCTCGGATTTCTCTCTCTTATCCTCTTCTTTCTCGAACTATTTCACGTTGTGTATTTGTTTATTCACACAGTCACTATTCGCTCAGAGAGTATTTATTGGACACTAATGACTTACTAAACTCTGTGCAAAAACTAATAATGTTTAGCATATACTGAGCACTCGTTGCAGGCATCTCGCTGAGCACTTCGCCGTTGTCATTCACTGGAGCGGCCCTCTGAGGGTAGTACTGTAATTATCCCCACTTTGCAGGTGACAAATCACTGCTCAGAGAGGTTCCGTGGCCCGAGAGTCACACAACCAGAGATGGAGGAGGTGGGAGGGGCCCAGTTTGACTGCAAACTTTTGCATTGCCCCCTACACCTGTTTCTCCCTCGCCTTCTCTTCTTTCTTCCTGTCTCTTGGGCCAGACCAACAGGCCCAACGAGCCAAAGTGGCAGGAGAGTCAGCAAGGGCCTGGAGCCAAAGCCCCCTGGAGGCCATGCAGTCCTGGCTCCAACTCCCCCGCGCAGCCACCGCTCAGTCCCACCTGCCCCACACCACCTGCCCTCCACCCCCAACCCCCTCTCTCCACCCCACCCCCGCCACACTCAGAGCCCACGCAGACGCAGGTGGGATTCATAGCACCATGGCGGGCCCCTGGGAAGGAAGGCAGGAAAGTGACGCGTGAAACCGCCTGCGGTTTTCTAGCCTGGCCTTCGCCCTTACAGGCGGCCTGGGCAGCGAGGCTGGCAAGCGCAGTGCGCGGACAGACGGATGGCGGCCCGGGCCGGGGTTGGTGAGAAAGGCTGCCATGTTTCAGGAAGGAGCACCATCTCTTAGCTGTGAGTGGGACGGCGTTTCCTCAGGCCTCGAGTTTAAACAGCACGTCCACACTCGATGCCCACCAGGCAGGGCAAATCGCCGGGGAGCCCTGCGCGGAGGGGGGTGCGGGCCGCGGGGGCGCCAGGCTGGGCACAGCTTTCCTCTGCACTCAGGCCTGTGTCTGTCCCCAGGCTGCCTGGCACGGCCCCTCTCAGCGGCCTCTGCCCTCTGCTGCTCTGCCCAGAGCCGGTTCCCAGACAGCCACCCTCCTGAGGCGGCGGTCCAGGCTTCATCACCAGGACATTCCCCGCAGTCTCCGCGTCTATTTCTGCTACCGACACCCCGCGTGCGGGGATTTCTCAGCCACATCTGTGTCCCTGGAGCCAGGGCGCAACGCTCACGGTGCCCCAGTTAAAGGGCCAGCTGCTGCCAGGCGGCGGTTGCTGGAAGAGAGGGCCACTGCTCAACTTCTCTCGTCATCCACGAGGCCAAAAAAACCCGGGTGGGGTACACTGTACGCATTCCAGGGCGCGGCCGGAGTGCCTAACAGGTGAGGGCATGTGTGAGTGGCTGCCTGCATGTGGCAAGGGGAAAACACCGCGCCGCCAAGGAGCTGAAAACCTCACGTGTGTGTCCATCGGCACGTGAATGGAAAACAACATATGGCCTATACACACAATGGAATATAACTCAGTCTCAAAAGGGGCGGGAATTCTGACATGTGACAACATGGATGAACCTGGAGGACACTGTGGCCAGGGCACTGGGTTTGAATACAGACCACCCAGGTTTGAGTTCTGGCTCCATAACAAGCAGATGCCTAACAGTATGTGGGCAGCTGACCTAACCTCCCTGAACCTGATGACTGGGACAGTAACACCCACCCCACGTCCCCTGACGGCTTAATGGGAGAGTAAAAGCACTTTGTAAACTGTAAAGAACAATAAAATTATAAGAGATAAATGAAAAAATAAAGTCGCCGAAACCGGTTTGGCTCAGTGGATAGAGCATCGGCTTGCGGACTGAGAGGTCCCAGGTTCGATTCCGGTCAAGGGCATGTACCTGGGTTGCGGGCACATCCCCAGTAGGAGATGTGCAGGAGGCAGCTGATCGATGATTCTCTCTCATCGATGTTTCTAACTCTCTATCTCTCTCCCTTCCTCTCTGTAAAAAATCAATAAAATATATTTAAAAAAAAAAAAAGAAAGAAAAAATAAAGTCGAAATACAGTGCCAAAGCATTTTTCCCTGAGGGACATCAGCATAGCCGTGCATGCTGGTACAGCCAGGGGGCATTTCTCACAGCGTCCTCACGAGCAGGGCCAGGAAATGAGACAGTGGGCTTGGGCACTGTTACTTTTCACTTTAAACCCTTCCGTGCGATTTAAATGATTTTTTTAAAACAAGTATGTTTTCCTCACATAACTTAAAACCAAAGCAATATTGTTCTAGACATTATGGATAGTAGTAGATTGCCAAGACCTGAGCTACTTTGGACTCTTGTCCTGGCTCTGAAATAGAAATGAACGAACTAAGGTGATTCTCTCTCCCCGGGGCAGGCAGTGCCCTCTTAGGAAGGTAGCTGCTGGGAATAACACCTGGCAAGCCTCCAGCTCTCCAGGGAGACCATGATCATAAGTCCCTTTGCCTTCCTTTGGCTGCCTGCCTATAAAAAATAATCCTATCTAATAAAAGAGAAACATGGTAATTGGCGTACGACCGCTACCCTTCCCATTGGCTAATCAGGGCGATATGCAAATTAACTGCCAGCCAAGATGGCGGCCGGCAGCCAGGCAGCTTGAAACTAACATGAGGCTTGCTTGCTTTAGTGACGGAGGACTCCAACATTCCCCGCCTCCCTTGCCAGCCTCTGAGCTGGCAGTTTGAAACATAGTTACAAAAATAGAAGCTAAACAAAACCCCAGAAACCAGCTTTCAGTGAGCTGGGATCTCAGACCTGGAGTTGATACAGAGTTTCGATTGTAGAACCTAAACAAACCAGATACCTGCTTTCAGGAGCGGAGGCCTAAGAGCTGGAGCCTCAGAGCTAAAGCTGGCTCAGAATAAAAAAAGAAAAAAAGGAGCGGTTGGGAGCTTCAGTCCCAGCCTGAAAACAGCCTCAGCCCCTCACCCAGACTGGCCAGGCACCCCAGTGGGGACCCCCACCCTGAAGGGGGTGTGACCAGCTGCAAACAGCCCTCATCCCCTCATCCAGGCTGGCCAGGCACCCCAGTGGGAACCCTCACCCTGATCCAGGACACCCTTCAGGGCAAACCAGCCAGCCCCCACCCATGCACCAGGCCTCTATCCTATATAGTAAAAGGGTAATATGCCTCCCAGCACCGGGATCAGCGGAGCCGCGAGGTCTCCCAGCACCGGGATCAGCATGACAGGAGGCAGCGACCAAACCCCCTGATCACCCTGTGGCTCTGTGTATGACAGGGGGTGGGGCCACAACCTCCCTATCTGCCCTGCTCTGTTCCTGACAGGGGAAGGCGCCCCAACCCCCTGATCGGCCCTGCTCTGTGCCTGATAGGGGGGAGCTCCCCAACCTCCTGATCGCCCTCAGCTCTGTGTGTGACAGGGTGTGGCG